ATATGAACCAAGATGCATTAGCCTTGCCGCTAGGACCAATCACTCGCTCAAGGGTCAAACAGTTACAGCTAGCATTTCATTCTCACATCCAAACAGTAGTGAGCTCCACTAATGGACATCAAGAGGATAAAGATGGAAAAAAACTTTATTCATGGTGTCAAATGAATATACGAGAAGAAGCTTAAGCCAAATGAAGACACAAGAAGAAGATGAAGGAACTTTGTATTAACAAAGTTAATTATTTTTAAATTGTTATGTATCTTATTTTAGGCCTTTATTTTTTTAGCCTAATGATGTGGCATTGAATTTATTGTTTTTAGTTGTTTTTTTTAAATTAACTATGTCACTTTAATTGGGGATAATATAGTCTTTTAGCTTCCTTTGATATTAGGGATTTAACCTTGTGAACAGAACGATCAATGGATACGGAATGAATTTGGAGTGTTTTAGCATGATGACTAAGGGTGCATCAACTTTTCAATTCTTGATCTAGGTTACAAACTCGAAACATTTAAGCGAGGTTCGATCAACCTTCTTGTGGAGTGTTCAACCTCGAGTAGGGAACCATTTCTTCTTACCTCTTGCTCTTCGATCATCAAGGTAATCCTTTGTATAATCTTTCCTTGGGATTGTGCTATTTGATCTGGGGTTTTAGAAATTGATAGTTAGGGGTACTCCTTATGTGGAAGGGTTTTTATCTGCAATTTTGTAGGGTTTCATATCATATTACCTACACACTACAGAAAAATGGTGTATCAGAAAGGAAAAACAAAGTCGTGATAGAGATGTCAAGGTGTTTACTCTTTGGGAAAAAATTGCCAAAGAAATTGGCTAAAGTTGTATGTACTACTATTTACTTGCTCAATAGACTATCTACGAGGGCAATTCAGGGCAAAACTTCTTATGGACCTTGGTATAGCAAAATTGATTCATATTTGATCCTTCAAGGTTTTAGGAGAAGTTTGAGTGAAAGTACACTCTGCATATGTTAAAGTTGGTGACAATTATAATCAACTCAATCTTTCTCTTTATGTTGATGATATGCTAATAACCGGAAATGATCATCAAATGCTTCAATATTCTAAAGGTAAGATGGAAAGATATTTGAAATGTCAGTTACATCCATTATTTTCTTGGTATAAATCCAACAAGACAAGGGGATTTTTTTTTGCCCAAAAAAAGCTATGTTCAAATAATTTTGAACAAATTCAAGATGAAAATATGTAAAGTTATTTACTTTTTTAACAATAGATTTGAAAGTCTCGAAGAATCATGGTATGAAGCTTTCTAATCCTACAAACTACAGAAGTTTAGTAGGAATTCTTGTGTATTTGATAGCATCCACACTAGACTTAATATTTGCTGCAAGTTAACTTTCAATATATATGAATTCACCTAGTAAGTCCATTTTTGTCTCAACTAAAAGGATCCTTAGATACTTAAAGGGTACTCTTGATTTTGGAATCTTATTTAATTGTACAGGTGATTTGAAATTGATTGGATAACGGATGGTGATTGGGTTGGTGTTGTTGATAAAAATACTTCTAGCTATGTCTTTTCTTTTGGTACTTAACTTTTATCTTGGAATTCAAGTAAACAAGAAGTTGTAGATCAGTCTACTAATGAAGCTAAATATATTTCAACTGCACCAGCTGCAACTCAAGCAATATGGCTTCGCACATTGCTTGATGATTTGGGATTTATACTAGAGGAACCTACAACATTATTTTGTGATAACAAGTCTACAATTGCTATTGCCTTGCATCCTGTATAACATGATAGAACAAATTTCATTTATTGAGGGAAGCAAAGAATAAAGGCGAAATCCAGCTCACGTTTTGTAGTTTCGAAGAACAACTTACCGACATCCTCATAAAAGCTTTACGATACAAACAATTTTTTTTTCTGCGCTAAAAGTTAGGTGTGAAAAGAAAAACCTCAAGGAGGAGTGTGTTGAGTTATGAACTTTTTTTAACTCGAGTTTAATTTTCTTTAAATTTTTTTCTTTAAATGTTAGATTTATTTTTCTATTTTTTATCTTTTAAATTTGAGTTTCATGACTTGTAAGTTTAGTTTTTAATGTTGTTTCAAATGGTAGTATGTTCGATTACTAAATATGGATAAATATTAAGGGTGAACTTTCAAGAGAAATTTGTATCAACGAGATTCGTACTATTAATTTTTCATCAACAATTTTTTATCACTTCAATTAGAAGTTGATTTCTAATCCATTGAATTTCATTCTCTCATATTTCATTTTTTCTCGTTGTTCATCAAACATTGAAATTTTTATTATTGCTTCCACATTATATTTTTATCACCTTCATTTTCTCAACGGGGTATCATAACCTTAGACTTGGTTGTGATTTTATTTGAGAGAAAGAGATTCAAAATTTTTATTTGATAATGTCTTCTAATTGTGGTCTCACCTCTCCTCCACATTTTAGTGGTAAAAACTATCAATTTTATGTTGTTAAAATGCAATCCTATCTAAAAGCATTTGGATTTGGGAATATTTTTCAACAAATTGATCCTTAACCATTGGGAAAAAAGCCAACATTGAATCATATTATATTACAAGAAGAAGAAGAGATGTTAAAGAAGTCCAAAGTTTTATCTATAATTCATGTCACGTTATCTGATCTTATATTTCCTAGGATTATTGATTGTAAAATACCAAAGGAAGCTTGGGTTAAATTGCAGGAGGAATTTGAAGGAAGTGCAAAGTTGAAAGCTATCAAATTATTAACTTGAAAAGAGAGGTGCTCAAGATGAAATATTTAGACTCTGTGAGAGATTACACAACAAAAGTGATAACCATTGTAAACCATTTTAGACTAGCCGGTGTAAATTCTCCATATCAAAAAGTTGCTGAAAAAATAATGGTTAATGGTTCCAATTAATTTGAATCAACGATCTCGGCAACAGAGAAGTCTTTTGATTTGACTACTCTCTATAGTTGAGTTAATTAGCAAGTTACAAGCCCAATATGAAAGAGATACAATGCATAATAAGGAGCTGCACAAAATGATAGACAATCAACCAAAGATTGGGGATGTTAGATATCCAATATATAAATTAAATTTACCCAACCCATCAGTTTAAGTTTTTGGATTGGGTGGTGGTTTATTCATCATTAACATGATATCAGAGCGGAAGGTCCTTTTTTCGAACTCCTACATTGTTGTTTCCTCCCTATTTATTATGATTTCCATTTGTTGGATTTTGTTTTTATTCATCCTTAAGAGGGGAGCCTGGGAGAAGGAATAGTGTAAAGGTAAATTTTGATTGTTTGTACAGAAACAAACCGGTCTTTACTATTGTAACAAAGAAGGTCATGTGGAAGAGTGTTTTCATCCAAACAAAACCAAATCCAAAATCTCCAACAACAAGCAAATGATGAGTAAATCTCATGGCTTATTGATAGCGGATACACAACCCATATGGCCAAAGATATTAATTTTTTTAGCCAAATTGATAGATCTATACAGTCTAAGGTAGTTCTTGGATATTGCGAGATGGTACTAGCTGAAGGTAGAGGTATTGTCATCATACATACTAAGCAAGATGAAAAGAAAATATCTAATATTTTATATATTTCAAGGTTACCTCAAGTTGCTTAGTATTGCTCAATTTTTACATAACATTGCTTCATGGTTTTCAAAATCAAGATTGCATCATTAACGACCCTCATGGGGTAGAGATTGCAACGATCAAAATGATTGGCAATGCCTTCTTTTGGACGATGACTCACTATGATACCATGCTCTTAATGCCAAAGTAGAAGAAAGTAAAAGAGGGCATCATCACTCTGCACACTACAATAACAAAGTTTTACATTCTTCTAACATGATTGATGATTTTTCTAATTTTGACTCATTTTTTAGATTTATGAAAATTGAAGAATGGAAGATGGACATACCACCTTTTTCTTAAAAGGTAGTAGTTTTCAACCAAAGAAAAACTTGAATTGGTGCATAGCAATGTTTGCGGTCCCATGTGCAAAACATCAATCGGGAATAATAAATATTTTATTCTATTTATTGATAATTTTTCTAGGATGACTTGGGTGTAGTTTTTTATTAAGAGAATCCATTTTTTTTATATTTTAAAGAAGTTTGTTACTTTTGTTGAAACTCAAAGTGGTTGCAAGCTCAAAACTTTGAGAACAGATAATGGGAAGGAATATACTTCCAAGTAATTTGGCAAGTTATGTGAAGACTTAGAAATCAGCACAAATTGCCTATTACCTACCCACCACAGCAGAATGGTGTATCATAAATGAATTAAGAACATAACCGTGATGGAGATAGCAAGGTGTTTACTCCTTGGAAAGAAATTGTCAAAGAAAATTTGGGTAGAAGCTACGGATCTTGGTGTAGCAAAATTGATTCATATTTGATTCTTCAAGGTTTCACGAGGAGTTTGAGTGAAAGTACTTTCTATGATAAAGTTGATGACAACTCAATTTTTTCTCTTTATTGTTGATGATATGCTAGTAACTATAAATGATCATCAAAAATTTCAAGATTCTAAAGTTGAGATGAAAAAGATGTTCGAGATGTCAAATCACAATTACATGCATTATTTTTTTAGTGTGGAAATCCATCAAGGGCACAAGGGTGTTTTTACTCCCCAAAGAAAAGTATGCTCAAGGAATTTTGAAGAAATTCAAGATGGAAACATGTAAAGTTATTTGTACTCCTTTAGCAATAAATTTGAAAGTCTCGATAATGATGGTGACAGACTTTCTAATACTACAAACTTTGAAAGTTTAGTCGGAAGACTTAATGTAATGTTTCCATTAGTATCTTTCTATATATTTCGTCAAATTTTTTTTGCACTATTATGAAAAATTCAATGCATCCCTTATATCATGTCAAACCTATGGAGGACATATGAAAATGTTAGCCTGATGAAAATTTAATACCCTAATTACAGAACCAAGACCTCAATAAAGTAAAAGAAGAAAGAAAAGAGAGAATAATGGGCAAAAAGGGGAGAGAAAGAGAACTAGCAAAATCCCTTTATTGTTTCTTTGCAGATGCAGCAGTTGAAAGAGAGAGATAGAGAGAGAGAAAGTGTAATAATTAACACAACCACTATGAATTTTCACAAAAAAGAGAGACCAATATTGTTTTGTGAAGGAGACAAAAAAAAATTGTGATGGCACCCCCACCTTAAACAAAAGTCCATTTTATCATATATCTCAAAAACAAATGCAAATCCCTTCTTCTGCCTTGAGTTTCAAGCCAATTCTGGGCCAGAGGGGAGTGGTTGGTAGCCATCATGATGCCCTGTGTTTGCTTCTTCTCTATGAACAGGAATGAGCTTCAACACAACTGCAACTGGCATGCTCACAAATCCAATCAACACACTCAGTCCCCACAGTTCCCAGCTCAAAGGCACAGTGCTTGCAAAAGCACCCAACAGTTCAACAATAATTACTTGGAAACCCACTGTGGATACCATTACTCCCAAAAATATCCTGCTCGAGAACATCCCTCGGAAGATGTTGATCTTCTCTATCTCACGGCTGTTAATTTCGTTAAATACCTGAAGAAAAACAAACAACAATCCAAGCATAACCACCATGTGTTTGCATGTAGCATATAAATTTTCTAAGTTCAATGTGGCAGACGATACCTGGCAGAACACAAATGAGTTAAATATCAAAGTGTTGAGGACTATTGTGGAATCAGATCCACCGAGTCCAAGAAGTTGCTTTCCGGCGAAGTTAAGAACCGCAAGAACAGCGAGCTGATAGACACTTTGACCAATAATGTTCCTCCACATGGCCTTGGTGATAAAGCTGACGCCCTTGGGAATTGGGGGTCTCTGCATAAGTCCATCGTTTGGAGGCTCTGTGGCAAGTGCCAAAGCACCAAGAGTGTCCATAATCAAGTTCACCCAAAGCAACTGAACAGCAGTGAGCGGAGCAGACCCTGAAAGGCGAGGAGAACCAAGAAAAGAAAAAAGGGTTATCGATTTTTTGTCATTTTGAAATGGTCTTGCATAAAAGAGCAGCTTCGTAGATGAAATACACCTGAGAGGCAAGCAGAAACGAAATTGATCACTAGAGCAACGATGTTAACTGTTAGCTGAAACTGCACAAACTTTTGTATGTTAATGTAAACCGCACGTCCCCATCTCGCAACATTTACAATTGTTGAAAAATTGTCATCCATTATGATGACATCGGCATTTTCCTTGGCCACCTGAAAGTCATCCATAAAGATATCGGCAATATGACCAAATTTTAGTTATCGAGTCAATCTTTAGAGAAAAACAAACTTTACATTAGACATCCATGTGAAGGTCTTTGCTGCAAGAACTCTATGAAGCAAGTCTTTCTTCTTTTTTTCTAATAAGAAACATGTGTATGTATTACTCACAAAAAGAGGTACAGCACTATGGGATAGCAAGCCAAAGACTACATAAGTTGTTTGCCTAAACGCTTCCAATTTAGAACATTGGGATAGGTACGTTTGACCAGGCCATGGCGTTATTTTCTCAGATGCTTAAATTATTAGCTTAATTTTGTCTCCTCGCCATGTATTGACCAATAACCATCAGAAACATAAATAAGAACATGGTATGAAATCGTTCCACCCCAAAATTTAAGATCTAATCAATCAAATAAGTCACTTTTCAAAAACATATTTATCCTAGCTCAAAAGAAGAAACACATTCGTTTC